GATAGTTCAGATTGTGATGAAGCAATTCAAAGAGTATCATCTATATAAGCCAAAACAGAGCATTTTTTTTGTAATAAATTGGATATTTGAAGTTTGAGATTAGTGGTCCAAGAGAATTGTAGTTTGTAACCAGGAGTGTTTAAGTATATATAGGAAATAAGTGGATCATAGTAGATATACTATAGCAAAGGAGTAATAGTTTCACCTTGGTCAATGCCATTGTGAACTGAATAGGATAAAGTTAAGCCAAGATTAGTTATAACTTGATTGTGGTGGTCAGTAAGGACTTGAGTCATTTATGTAAAGTGTAATATTACATATATATAAAGAAATATATAACCAATATTGCATAAAACTTCAGTGCAAATCCATAATAAGATTACTGCATATAGAAAACTAAGAAACTAAGATAATAGAAATCCACTTGGAAATTCCTAAGTAAAGAGGTAGCATGAACTTTTTATAGTATTATCAGACTAGTTAAAGCCTATAAAACACCTTCATTGAAATTAAAGATTAGTCTGGACATCAAATATGTATAGTAGAGTATATAACCAACCAGGTTGCTAGACTTGTTGAGAAAAAAATTACAGAAGCATATTATACCAGGCTATTTGAATTAGTAGTCTAACAAAAACTATCAGTTCTGAGTTGTAACTAGTAGAAGATGATGGAAAAGATGCTAAGAAGATAGATAATAAAGTTCTAGTAAATTTTACAAAGGTAGAAATAATGTAATATAATAGTTAAACAAATAATTCCTATAACTGCAAGTGTTAGATAACTATAATATGTTGTATAAAACTAGATTAGTATATATAAAATATAAAGGCTCTGGTAAGTTTTTTGTTAAAGATAAAGTAGTTCTAAGAATACTGACTAGTATCAAAAACTTGAATGAGTATAGTCTTAAAAATGTTCTCATAATACAAAAAAGCTTGCATATACAGAGGGTTTAAATAGACAAGACTCTTAGTTGGCTTGCAGATATGACATCTAGTATAGAACTTATATAGCAATGTATAAACAGACTACTTAAATTAGGCACCAAAAGTGCATATATAACTAGTTGTAATCTCTAATATAAGAGAGTCTTTGAAGGCAACTCATGTTCTACATATTTGAATAAAAATGTTATATTCTAAAGATAAGAACTTTAATTTTTTAAAAAAAAATGTAATTTCACAAAAATTTTTTAAAACTTCTATAATTTGTAAAACATTTTAGAAAGAAAATTTGGAAAAATTTTACTAGTAATCATTATTAAATAAGGTGCAATCATCATTAACCATATAGTTTAATTTTTGATTGAATTCTATAAATTACTACAGAAAGAGTATACAATTAGTTATATATATAACTTTCTATATTACTTATTTAAAGAGTTTACTTGAAGATTTTTTATTAATTGCTATATCTAATATCTCTATTTGGGTATTTTATTTTAAATTTTCTAAATCTGCAATTTGTGTTAATATTACTAGTATAACAGATTATATAGGTAAATTCAAAAATAAGTCAAATATGATAGATTGTTACTAAAAAAATAATTAACTGTATAATGTTACTTAAGGATAATAAAGATAAATTTATAACTTGGCACTAGTTAAGGTGATCAATAAAAAGAATTATTAAATAAATATTGTGATTTTAAAAAAATATTAGTTAATTTTATAAGTTAAAAAAAGTTTTATTAACTTAATATTTTGTAGAGGTAATACAATTATATTATTATAGAATAATTCTTAATTCTAATGAACTTAACTTAGTTTTTGAAAGAAAAAATTCTACTTTTTTTATAATGAATTAAATATAAAAAAAGTCTGCACAAGACTATAACTTTTCTTATTATTCCCAACACTTTTTAACCTTATTTGTTATAATTTTTAACTTCTTTTATACAATCTTTCATTACTTTTACATTTCTCACAGCCTTTATAGAACTAATTAAAAATGTTTTAGTTTTACAATTCCAAAGTCAGAACCTATTATATTGTCTTCAATTATATCTTTCTTTTAATATCACCTTACATTTAACTCAAGTAAAGTAAATAGAATCAACATCCATTTCTAACATAACAGATTGGTTTAGGTTGATCTTACTTTAATTAAAAGGAATAATGAGATTCTACATAGAGGCTTGTATACTTTTATATAGCTTCTTTGAGGCCAAACACACATGTTTCAAATGGTTCATTATGGATATCTCTAATTAGATAAGTATACTATAATGATGCTTATTTTACAGATTCTATAAGATGTTAGTTTTACCTTTGATACTAGATTAAGACCAGATTATTATCTTAATTTTAGAACTATTTTATCTTTAAAGTAAACCTTCTAATGCCTTTTGTACTTATTTTTACAATTGGTACAGTATTATTATAACAAGATTAACACTTGCAGTCAGATTTATCATTAAATTACTATGTCTTTATAAAGTTTACTTAAACTTTAGTACTATTTTACAATATATCTAAAATACTTTAGTATACTTTGCATTGTTATTAGACTTCTAATTCAAATAATTTATTAGAACTACAACTAGGTTATTAATATATTAGACAGGCCTAATATTCTTTTTTTTTAATCTATTTTAATAGTCTAATTAGTAGTACCTTCTATTTAGAGTTTCTTGTCTGTCTTGTTCTTTTATATTGATATCTGTTTTATAAAGTTATATTTATAATAATATCATTAAGATTCATGCTACCTCTCTGCTTAAATCTTTCTAAATGAACCTTTTGTTTTTTAATTTTAACAGATTTACATAATTACAAAAACTTATCTAAAGTTTGTACTACTTGGTACCAGTTTGCATTTCTTTGTATAACCAATTACACAAATACCTTATAATTTGCCAGTTATGCTGATGTGATCACCATTACAAGTATCTTAACCCAATTAAAAAATAGTTATTATAATATAAATATTACATAATTGATTATTTAAATTTTCACTATTAATAGATTTTGAACATCCAACCTACCACTTGGGATTGACAAATTATCCATTTCACTAAATCACCATACCTCCTTTCTTTACTTTTTTTAATTACATAAGATCCAATAATCTAATTAGTTTTTATTTTTTATTTTTTTGGTGTCTAATTAGTTTTTATGCAACTAGGTAATATTATCTAATTTTAAAAAATAAAAGTAAATTAATTAAGCTAGATTTATAGAAAAAAAAGAAATTAACCAATTTTTTAAAATTAATTTTTTTATATAAATTAATTTGGAATACAATCAGGATCATTTTTTACTTAAGATATAAAAGTAATTGTACTAATAAAATTGTGCAATATAGTTATTCAAAATTTACAATTTATTATGGTTTATTATAAAATTTATATAATATTTTTTTTGTTGATTTTCTCTTTTTTGTAGCACCTAATCCAATTAAATCTTGTCCAAAAAAATTAAAGACCGAAAATCGAAAAACATTATAAATACAATCTGAATTTGACAAAAATTTTCGAAAACGCATGCTCACATCGATCTGACAGATTGATCAGATCGATCAAATATAAATTTTTTGATGAAAATCTTTTCACGTTTAGCTTAAAAGGAAATGTGGCGGATCACGAGCAAATATGCGGCCAATAACAAAAGAACAACTTGTTTATTCACAAACTTTTATAGAAATAATCTTCACCATGTCGATGAAAAAAGATTGGAATGATGCGAGTCGATTACCTATAGTATATATCAAATGCTTCACAATATATTAATGATTATGCTATATCAGTTCTCGTTTGTGCGTTAGCTACATTATTATTTATAATCATTCGAGAGTCGTTCGCGAAAAGGTCGACCCGAGCCTCCCACCCTGCCTGAGGTCAGCCCGGGCCGGCCCTGAACCAAGATTTTTTTCATCGGCATGCATCACTAGGCGGCACATATATAGTATCTTATGTAAAAGTTTTTGCTTCAAATGAGAAATATCTTAAATCTCAACGTTACGCATGAAATGTTCAGCAGAACCAATTAGGAATTTGTATTACTAGAGTTCATTTTTTATAACGTTAAATGTTACCGTTACATTTTTTATTGTAAAATATCATAATTCCTTTTTGTTTACGTTTGGAAGTTATAGGTAAGTAACTCATTTTAATGATTTTCTTTTTAGTCTGTCCTAATTTATATTACCATTATCGCATTACTTTACTATACACCCATACTTTAGCCTTTTGAGGTCATAAAGAACTAATATGCGGTATACTAAACATGTCAAATTGGTTTAAAGTTGCTATTGAACAAAAATACATTACGTCATTTGAGTATGATTCTTTTCAGAATTGGGAAGAAATAGGCAGAGGAGGATCTGGTACTATATATGGCGCTTATTCAAGAGATATTGAAAAAACTATAGCTTTAAAAAGTTTATATTGTGATGACAATATTTCGTTGAATGGTTTTATTAAAGAAGTATTTTATAACATCTATATTTTTATTATGTTCTTATTTACGTCTTTATTTACGTATTTACTGGTTTGCTATATTACATCTTATAATACACTATAAGATCAAAAATATTACTAGAGTTGCGCATCATGATAATATAGTACGATTTTTTGGAATCACGCAAGGTATATTATTTTATATCTTAATGAAATCGACTTTATCAGCTAACTAATTATTTCGAGTAAATTAGATCTGAAAACAGAAGCATATTACATGGTTCTTCAATTCGCTAATAATGGTGACCTTCGCTCCTATTTACGTAATAATTTCTCAGAATTAGATTGGTCAACTAAAATCAGAATGGCAAAAGAGATTTCTAGTGGGGTTAATTGTTTACATAATGCAAATATTGTTCATCGTGATCTCGTAAGATACCTTTTCTGCTTAATTTATTTCTCACTTTTTATTATATTCGTTAATATTTCTATCCTTTATAGCATGATAGGAATATATTAGTGCATGATGGTAGATTAATTATTACGGATTTTGGATTATCTAAATCATTAGACAATAACACAAAATCTATTGGTGGAGGAACGTATGCATTTTCCGATCCACAATATCTCCAAAATCCATTTTTATATAAACGAGATAAAGCTTCTGATGTCTATAGTCTTGGCATACTTTTTTGGGAACTATCGAGTGGTAGATCTCCTTTTAAAGATATATTTGATCCAACAGGGATAACTTTACAAGTAATTAATGGCAAAAGAGAAACTCCTGTTAACGGAACTCCGATTGACTTTATGAATATTTATTGTGATGCTTGGAATGGTGATCCAACTTTACGTCCTAGTATAGCCGAAATCCGTGATAAATTAAATTACATACAAATGGTTCCAGTTTATCACAGTAAAAATGATATTAATATAGGTATTTCGAGTAATGATGCAGAATTTAATTTATATAAACTTGATGATGATGATGATGATGATGATAGCATTCAAGATATGAATTTATTAGGTTCATTATGTTTAATTATTAGGATTAAATTAATAATCATTAATTTTTATTAATAGCAAATTATTTATTTTTACAGAACAACGATTTAATAAATTGCATGTCGTTAGTCAAGATTATTCAAATTTCAATTCGGAAAATTATATTACTATGGGTAAGAATGAGGAGGATCCGTTTGTAAGACTAAATAAGTTATTAGAAATAGATCCAAATAATGCAGAAGCATTAAGAAATCGTGGAATAGAACATTATAAATTAGAAAGATATAGCAAATCATTAGCAGATTTAAATAAATCATTAGAAATTAATCCAAATGATGCAAAAGCATTAAGTTATCGTGGAGCAACTTATCGCATGATGAACAGATACGATGAATCACTAGCGGATTTAAATATATCATTAGAAATTGATACAAATGACGCAATTACATTAAGACAGCGTGGAGTAACTTATTGCCGGATTGACAGATACAAAGAATCATTAGCAGATTTAAATAAATCATTAGGAATTGATCCAAATAATGCAATTGCATTAGCAACCCGTGGAGCAACTTATCGCATGATGAACAGATACGAAGAATCACTAGCAGATTTAAATAAATCATTAGAAATTAATCCAAATGAAACACTTGCATTAGTAATTCGTGGAGAAACTTATCGAATGATGAAAAGATACGAAGAATCACTAGCAGATTTAAATAAATCATTAGAAATTAATCCAAATGATGCAGAAGCATTAAGTTATCGTGGAGAAACTTATCGCATGATGAACAGATACGAAGAATCACTAGCAGATTTAAATAAATCATTAGAAATCAATCCAAATAATGTATTTGCATTAGTAATTCGTGGAGAAACTTATCGCATGATGAACAGATACGAAGAATCACTAGCAGATTTAAATAAATCATTAGAAATTAATCCAAATGATGCAGAAGCATTAAGTTATCGTGGAGCAACTTATCGCATGATAAATAGATATGAAGAATCACTAGCAGATTTAAATAAATCATTAGAAATTAATCCAAATAATGCAATTGCATTAGAAAACCGTGGAGCAACTTATCGCATGATGAACAGATACGAAGAATCACTAGCAGATTTAAATAAATTATTAGAAATCAATCCAAATAATGCAATTGCATTAGCAAACCGTGGAGCAACTTATTGCATGATGAACAGATACGAAGAATCACTAACAGACTTAAATAAATCATTGGAAATTGATCCAAATGACGCATTTGCATTAAGACAGCGTGGAGTGACTTATTGCGAGATGGACATATACGAAGAATCATTAGCAGATTTAAATAAATCGTTAGAAATTAATCCAAATAATGCATTTGCATTAGAATACCGTGGAACAACTTATCGCATGATGAATAAATACGAAGGATCACTAGTAGATTTAAATAAATCATTAGAAATTAATCCAGATAATGTATTTGCATTAAATGAGCGTGGAGTAACTTATCGCATGATGAACAGATACGAAGAATCGCTAGCAGATTTAAATAAATCAGTAGAAATTAATCCAAATGATGCATTTGCATTAGCCGAACGTGGAGAAGTTTATCGTATAATGAACAGATACGAAGAATCCCTAGCAGATTTAAATAAAACATTAGAAATTGATCTAAATAATGCATTTGCGTTAAAAGTCCGTGGAGCAACTTATCGCATGATGAATAAATACGAAGAATCACTATTAGATTTAAACAAAACATTAGGAATTAATCCAAATGATGCATTTGCATTAAATGAGCGTGGAATAACTTACCGCATGATGAATAGATACGAAGAATCGCTAGCAGATTTAAATAAATCATTAGAGATTAATCCAAATGATGCGTTTGTATTAAGACAGCGTGGAGTAACTTATTGCAAGATGGATAGATATGAAGAATCACTAACAGATTTAAATAAATCATTGAAAATTAATCCAAATAATGCAATTGCATTAGAAAACCGTGGAACAACTTGTCGCATGATGAACAAATACGAAGAATCACTAATAGATTATAATAAATCGTTAGAAATTAATCCAAATAATGCATTTGCATTAGCAAACCGTGGAGTAACTTATCGCATGATGAACAGATTCGAAGAATCATTAACAGATTTAAATGAATCATTAGAAATTGATCCAAATGACGCATTTGCATTAAGACATCGTGGAGCAACTTATCGCATGGTAAACAGATACGAAGAATCATTAGCAGATTTAAATAAATCATTAGAAATTAATCCAAATGATGCAAAAGCATTAAGTTATCGTGGAGCAACTTATCTCATTATGAACAGATACGAAGAATCACTAGCGGATTTAAATAAATCATTAAAAATTAATCCAGATGATATATTTGCATTAAATGAGCGTGGAGTAACTTATCGAATGATGAATAGATATGAGGAATCACTAATAGATTTAAATAAATCATTAGAAATTAACCCAATTAATGCATTTGCATTAGAGTACCGTGGAACAACTTATTTTATGATAAACAGATATGAAGAATCACTAGCAGATTTAAATAAATCATTAACAATTAATCCAAATAATGCATTCGCATTAGAAAACCGCGGTGCAACTTATTGTATGATGAATAAATACGAGAAATCACTAGCAGATTTAAATAAATCATTAGAAATCAATCCAAATAATGCATTTGCATTAAGGCAACGTGGAACAACTTATCGCATGATGAATAGATACGAAAAGTCCCTAGCAGATTTAAATAAATCATTAAAAATTAACCCAAGTAATGCATTTACATTAAGAAACCGTGGAGAAACTTATCGCATGATGAACAGATACGAAGAATCACTAGTTGATTTAAATAAATCATTAGAAATTAATCCAAATAATGCATTTTCATTAAGACAGCGTGGGGCAACTTATCGTATGATGAACAGATATGAAGAATCATTGGCTGATTTAAATAAATCATTGGAAATTAATAAAAATAATGCATTAGCATTAGCAATCCGTGGAGAAATCTATTGTATAATAAACAGATATGAAGAATCACTAACAGATTTAAATAAATCGTTAGAAATTATGCCAAATTATGTATTTGCTTTAGAAACTCGTAAAAAAGTTTATAAAATATTGAATAAAAGATCTAAAATTAAGTTTTGGTAATATAACAGTTATTTGTATATTTGACATATATTTACTTTTTTAAATATTTGAGAACTTGGATGGTATAGATTAATGATTTTTAAGCAGTTTGGTATACTTTTCAAAAATAAGATATTTAATCAAAATCTCAATGTTATTTCATTATTATTATTGGAATTTTTGTTATTAGTTATTTATCTATAAAAACATTAAGTTAATTAATTCAATATTGTTATTTTTTTATTATAATTATAATATTATTTATTTATTCTATTATTTATTTTATAATTTATCTATTTTATTATTATTTTTTTTGACTATAATAGTTTTGTCATAAATTTTTTATTAAGATTCTTGTATATAAGTTGTACATATTTTGTTTTAAGTTTTTTATTTAATATTTTCTAATTATTTCAATAAGTTTCTAAAAACAGTCTGTTGTACTAGTTAAAAATGTATCTAGACTTTGTTGTATTAGACTAACTAAAAAGATTATATAAACAAATTGTAATTTATTACAAATAAAACTTTTATTAAAAAGTGTAATAAATTAGTGAAGTAGGCAAGTTGTTATCTCTTCAATTGGCAAATTGAAAGTTCAAAACCCACTAACAATAAAAATTTAAACAATCATCTATGTTATAATAACTATTTTTTATCAATTAATTAGAATAAGATATTTGTAATTATAGTTATATTAGTATAACTAGCAGGTTATAGATTATCTGTATAAACTTAGTTATACAAAAAGATACAAACTAATATAATAGTATAAACTTAAGATAATACAAGTTGAACAAATGAATAAAAAATTAATAATAGATAAATAATAAGAAAAAAATTTGCTATTATTTTACTTTATATTTGTTAAATAATAGCTGTATAACAGTAGCATAATAGTAAAATAATAGTAAAATACATAGCAGAAGGTTTGTTAATATGAGTAACATAATAATATTATAATAGTAAAATAATGAAATAGTTTTATTATTTTACTTTTAGTTACAAAGACTAAAAGTAAAATAATAGAACTATTCTATTATTTTGTTATTATGTTATTAATATATTATTTAGATCAACAAACTTTTTATTATTTTACTATTATGTTACTGTATGCTGCCATTATTTGGTAGATTTTTTTTGTTATTTATTTATTATTTACATTTTATTCATTTGTTTAACCTGTATAAGTTCTTAAAAAGTGACAACTTAGTAAAATAGATGGGTTGTCAACTCTCCAAATAGTAGGTTATAAGTTTAAAACTTATCAATAGCAAAAATTTAGATAATTATCTATATAATACTCAACTAATACATATTATAGTAATAGCATTTGTTGATTAGTTAAAATAAGATATTTGTAATTATGATTGCATTAGTATAATTGGCAAGTCATAAAAAATCTATATAAGTTTGGTTATACAAAGGAATGCAAACTAGTACTAGGCAGTCAAACTCAAGATAAATTTTTATGATTATATAAATTTGTAGAACTAGAAAAAACTAAAGTCTACTTAAAAAGATCTGAGTATAGAGATAATATAGATTTTTAATAATACTATTGTAAAAGCTAGATTAAAAAATAGATATTAATATAAAGAAATCAAACAAACAAAAATCTTTAAATAAGAAGTATTACTAATTAGGCTGTTAGATTAAACCAAAAAAAGAATATTAGGTCAGACTTGATATATCAGAAACAGGTTACAGTTTTTTAAGCTATCTGAATTAGAAGTTTAAGGACAAAGCAGAAATATACTAAAGTATAAGAGATATTTTATAAAGTAGATATTAAAGTACAAG